TCCTTCCTTCCTTCCTTCCTTCCTTCCTTCCTTCCTTCCTTCCTTTCTTCTTCCTTCCTTTCTTCTTCCTTCCTTCCTTCTCTCCCTCCCTCCTTCCTTCTTTCCTTCATTAGCACTTAGCAATAGCATTTAGACTTATATAGCACTTTATAGTGCTTTGCAACCCTCTCAGAGTCAGCATATTTGCCCCCAACAATCTGGGTCCTCATTTTACCCACCTCGGAAGGATGGAAGGCTGAGTCAACCATGAGGCTGGTGGGATTTGAACTGCCAAATTGCAGGCAGCTGGTGATCAGCAGTAGTAGCCTGCAGTACTGCACTCTAACCACTGCACCAGTGAGGGGTTCCGGCAGAGACTACTGGCGGTTCTCTCATGCACATGTTTGATGTGTGCTGCGCCTGCATGTGCAGTACAACCAAAATTGCTCTGCGCATGCGCAAAAACAATACGGCGGCACTGTAGGGCGAACCGGTTCAGGGGAATGGCAGGCCTGGGTCGCTGCTGGTTCCAGCGACCCAGGCCGCCAAGCTACCGGTTCAGCTGAACTGATCCGAACTGGTAGGAACCCACCACTGCACTGCGCCACTGCGGCTCTTGTAAGGACAGCAAGATTCCTTCCCAAGAGACAGAGAAACAGCTTGTAAAATCAGCAGGAGTTTTCCTGATCACACATAAACATCGACCTTGTATAGAGACTGCCTCGTTTAACCACAATTCCCAGGTAAGACCCCAGTGACTTTATGACTGAGCTTTGCATTTAAGAACTTGCAAAGCCAAAGAAAACTCAAGTAAGCCCATCAGCACAATCAGCAGTTCACTCAGTGACCCATCCCAAGTGTGGTCACTACCAGGATCATTATATTTACAGACTCCCACGCATCCTGGACATAAATTGTTTCAACTCCTACCCTCAAAATGACGCTATAGGGCACTGCACACCAAGACAACTAGACACAAGGACAGTTATTTCCCGAACGCCATCACTCTGCTAAACAAATAATTCCCTCACCACTGTCAAACTATTCACTAAGCTGCATTACTATTACTATTAGTCCTCTCATCGTTCCTATCACCCATCTCCTCCCACTTAGGACTGCAGGACTGTAACTTTGTAGTTTGTATCCTTACGATTGATATTGATATTGTTTCCTGATTGCTTATTTGTACCCTATGACAATCATTAAGTGTTGTACCTTATGATTCTTGATGAATGTATTCTGTTTTACTGAGAGCATCTGCACCAAAG